CTTGGTCCAAAGAGTGGCTGCTCAGATCTGATCGGATGAGATCAGCCACTCTTTCTTCCATGAGGATGAGTAAGAGGAGGGACGAAGTGAGATGCAGGATTATGGGACAAAATATCCCCACATGGTACCACCCACCTTCTCTCTTTCATGTCCTCCTCATCCTCCTTCAGCACCACATGCCTTACCCACACATCTGGCCAGAGTCCTGTCTCTTTTTCCTCAAAATCATACCTAGACTCTATTCCCATTCTTTCCAGCTGCTGTGGTTTGCCTTTCATTTCCTCCAGTCTGAACTCCTACAGCAGTTTCCTTACCTGTTTTTGCCACCACACGGATCACATCTGCATCCCTCTACAGATCCCTCTGATGACCTTGCATTATGGATGAGATGAAGCTCACCCTCCTTAGCCTGGAAGACACTGGTTCCCGAAGCTGCATGTACATCCCAGTTATCTGGCGTTGTCTTTAAAACTAACACATAGTGGTCTCCATCTCTGGCTTGCTGAATCCCTGCAGGTAGAGGAATTGAATAATGCTGTCCCTACAAGACCCTTCACAATGCAGCACCAATCGCATTTCACCACCTCCTGCAGCCCACTGTACCCTGAAGCCACACAGACTATTTTCCATTTTCCTACTGTGACATGTACTTTCATGCAGTGACTTTTCATATTCTAGAGTGTTTTTTCTTGCCCTCCTTGCCTTTATACTTCCAGATGCTTCAACATTTAGCCCCAGTAACATCTGCTCTGTGAGGTCCTTACTCGTCCACTGTGAAGAGGTGGGCGTCTTACAGCACTTATAATACTTAACACAAATCTTGTTTTTTCTTGGAGTTTTAAGAGGCACAGAAAGTAACATCACTCTTCCTTGCTTAGTTCAAAGAGAGGCACATTATTGAATTCCTATACCTCCAGAGATTCAGTGAGCCTGAGATGAAGAAGACTGTTGTTAGTTTTAACGATGACTCCAGATAACTTGGATATACATTCAGTGACATCAGATGGAAATGAAAATACCAGCTCCATTACAGATAGACTGCACTCTGGCAGGTCAGACTTATGTGTGGTCATGGGGGCTTAGTACCCCACTTTTCTGTCTAAACTATACTCCCTCCAAATGGGAAGAACCTGCCTCACTAAGCTGCTACCTGGAAGAAGAGTAGCAGAGAGCTTAACAGTAGGAATGGAGTGAGGGGAGAGAAAGAAAGGCAAAGACAGAAGTCCATTTTTCTCTTCTAAACTCTTCATCAGATAATCCACTGTGACTGACCCTGAGTGAAGGGCCGAGGGGAGGGAAAGGTGGAGAAAAGCTTAGCATGGTCTGGTGGAAGTACCTTATGAAAACCTAAGAATTTTAGAATAAATACCTTCTAAGAGTACGGTATACATTTTTATATGATCATCTTACTCTGTTTCCTAGGCTTCTAGAATCCCAAAGATGCTTCTGTTTATTTTTTCATTTCTTCTGCCTGGTACTAAATTTAATAAATATTTGTTAAATGAATGCTTAATCCTGAAGTGTTATGTAACACATTAAAGACAGCGATAGTTCAAATTTAAAATCAAACAGCGTCTAGTCTTTTCAAATTCCCAGCAGTCTCTCTAACATAATTACATGGTTTATTGGTTATGTTTGGACATTGTCTACAAGTGTTATTTGTGGTAGATTTTATCCCCCAAATAGCTGAGCCTTCCATCTATTTTTAGTTGCTTTCTTAATTAAAATTCAAACAGAACAAAAGCCAGGACCTAATGTCCTGCTGTTTGTGTACATAGCTTAAGAATGATTTCTAAATATTTGCTACTCTTTGTAAGAGAAACAGACCTTGTGAGGCATCACATATCTAGATGGATTGGAACCAGATGAGAAGCCTGTGGTCCTTATTTCAAAAATCCTTGTTCATATTGGAGAAGAGTTGGCAGGTGAAAGCTGAAAGCTCTCCTTCTGAATAAGCAGATAAAGGGAAGCTGTCTGCCTACTCAAGTTGAGGAACAGTTTGAAAATCAGTAATGAAGAGAGGCCAAAACAGACCTTGGCCATTGGAGAGTAAAGTGGACAGAAGAAAGGCATTGAAACCAGATAGACCTTTGGCTTGGAATGTCAGCAGGTCACTTACATCTCAGAACCAGTTTCTTCATCTTGAAGGGGAGTTAATACCACTTTTGCAAGCTGGCTGTGATTACTGAGTGAGGCCAGGTGTGGTACATCGCCTAGCAGACACCAGTCTCTGTCATTTATACAATGGACTAAGAGCACACCAGCATCATGGAGTAGTGACTTTGCTTCTCTGTCAATGCTTGTGGAGACAGGGTTGGAGATGTTTTCTGAGCAAATTTATTTTTCAAAAAGGCATTGCCCATATGTCCTATGGTTGTTTTTTTTTTCATTTGTGAAAATGTAAACACATGCTTGAGCACTTTCACCATGTTACCTCTGCTATACTGTTTACCTTTTTTACTTGAATGCAAGCTGTGAGTTTCAATGCTCATCTGGTCTACTTGGCTAGGATGACATTTATGCTACTTAGGAATGGTTGACATTTAGATCTTAGCAGTAACTGTTGGAACACTTCCAGGTTACTCTTGGATAATTGGTTTAAATCCAATTCTTTTTGTTTTTCCTTGAGAGGAATGATAAGAAACTATTAACAGTGGTTGCTTTTGGGTGAAAGGGACATGACGGGCTGTCTCTAAGATGGCCCCCAAACACCCCCACCTCCTGGTGTTCACCCCACTGTGCAGTTCCCTCTGCTCCAGTATAGACTGGACTTACTAACTTGCCTCTAATGAACAGAATTCAGCAGAAGCAATGGATGTCACTTCCAAGATGAGGTTATAGAAAGACTGTAACTTCCCCCTTGGGTGTTTTCTCTTCCGTTTTCTCTCATCTGCTCACTCAGAGGGACTCCGATTCCCATAATGTGAGCTGCCCTATGCAAGACTCCTGTGGCAAGGAACCAGGAGAGGCCTGCAGGAAACAGTCTATGAACAACTCAGGACCTTGATCCATTGCCTATGAGAAACTAAATTCTGCCAAAAACCAGATGAGTGAGCTTGAAACACTTTCCCTTCATCTAGTGTTTAGATGAGACTGATGCTCCAGTCAACAGTTTGACTGCAACCTCTTCAGAGACCTCGTGCCAGAGACAACCAACTAAGTAAGCAGCCGCTTGACTTCTGACCCCTGAGGACTGTGACATAATAACGCTTTGTTATGTTAAAGCTGCTAAATTTGGGGGTAATTTGTTGTGCAGCAATAGATAACTAATAAAAAAGAGAATGAAAAGGGTAATAAAGAGCAGTTTTTACCTTTTATTTTATGCCTGTTCTACTGTATAAATTTTCTCATTTTATGGATGTACAATATTTACTTTTTAAAATATTGTCAACAGGTGTTATTTAGGCTAGTAGATGACGGCAAATCCTGCAAATTGGCTCACTCAGTGCAAACTCCAACAGCTCCTATTGCCTTCCCGTACTCAGAAGCTAGCAAACTAAAAAAACAAAACAAAACAAACAAACAAAAAACCCTATATTTCATTTCCTATACTCTCTTGAAACTAAGAACCCGTATGTGACCTAGTTTTTATTAAGCAAACATACTGCTAAGGTAAAACTTAGAAAAAAATTAGCACATTGGGACCATGGCATGCTCTAGCCAGTCTGTGGGTAGAGATGAGGTTCTATGGTCTAGGTATAAACTAGACTGTAGTCCTCAACATCAGAAGTGTGAAGGGATAGTGTGAAGTGGCCATGGAGTTTCCATAAGAGCAGTTCCATTGAGTAGCTGGGTGTTATTATGTGGAGTCACTGTTCCTGTTTGGGCAACATCTAAGATGAGAACTTAACTCACTTAAGACTTCTCCCTCCTGCTTTCTGCTCCTTCCCAAATTTTATTTATTTTTTTTGAGACTGATTCTCACTCTGTTGTCCAGGCTAGAGTGCAGTGGCGTGATCTCAGCTCACGGCAATCTCTGCCTCCGGGGTTCAAGCAATTCTCCTGCCTCAGCCTCCTGAGTAGCTGGGATTACAGGCACATGCCACCCTGCCCAGCTAATTTTTTTATTTTTAGTAGAGCCGGGGTTTCACCATGTTGGCCAGGCTGGTCTCGAACTCCTGACCTAGTGATCTGCCCATCTTGGCCTCCCAAAGTGCTGGGCTTACAGATGTGAGCCACCGAATTAAATTATTAATTAGCATTATTTAAAATGTTGTTAAATTTATTTTGGTAGCTTCAAAACTGACAGTATAATGTTTTACTATTTTTGTTCAACTTACTTTATCTTAACTTTCCTTAACTTCCTTGTAAAACTCTACCCTTTCCCCCAGCTTTCTTCAGCCTTGCTTACACTAAGACTTTCGAGGGTGAAGGAAGGCCCTATTCATAATTACACTGGGACAAAAGGCATAATCAAATCTTTGTTCATGCCATATAAGTAGCATTATATTCTGCCAGTTCTCTCCACCTGTCTGAAAATATATGCTTACAATCTTCTATTAATCAAAATGTAAGATCAATAAGTTGAAATATACAGAAAAATATAGAAGTGTGCAAAAATGTTGACATGTTTAGATTCACCATTTAAGATCATGTGGTATTTGTCTTTCTGTGCCTGGTTTATTTCACTTAACATAATGTCCTTCAAGTTCATCCACGTTGCTATAAATGACAGGATTTCCTTCTTTTTTTAAGGCTGAATTGTATTCCATTAAGTAGACATACCACATTTTCTAAATCTAAAAAAGTCGAACTGATAGAAGTAGACATTAGAATGGTGATTACCTGGGGTTAGGGTTAGGAATTGGGCGATGTTGGTTAAAGGATACAAAATTTCAGTTAGATGGGGGAATAAGTTCAAGCGAGCTGTCTACACTGTAGTGACTGCAGTTAATAAGAACATACCGTATTCTTGAAACTTGCTAAGAGAATAGATTTTAAGTCACTCAATTTAACCATTCCACAATGTATACATATTTCAAAACATCACATTGTACACAATAAACATATGCAATTTATTGTCAATTTTAAAAACAAAATGTTTAAAGTGCTAACATTAGTCACTTCCATATGGTGAGATAATGTCAGTTTTTATTTCCTTCTTCTGCATATTTTTCATGCTTCCTAATTTTTGCCATTATCCATGAATTTTGGAAGAGGGGGTGGGGGGGTTTAAAATATTTACTTTTCTAGGCAGTGGATACTTAGGACATTAATTCCAGGGACTGACTCCACCGCTGAGATGCTACTTGTGGCGATCATCTTCTCCCAAGCTCCACATTTTGGCTTTGTACAGAGTGATGTCATTGTAGACCCTGAAGTAGTTCAGCCTGTGGTCACTGCGTTCTGGGTCGATCAAGGGCTCTGAGTCCCACCCAATTTCCTGGTTTTCAGTCTGTGCCTCCGGGTACTTCTTCCTTGGCCCCTGGGCAGCGTGGTGAATGAGATTCAGAAACCTGGCATCTGCAGGCTCCTCCAGGTTATCATGCCAAGACATGGGCTTCCTCGTAATCCTGTGAACCTTGCGCAGGGGATTCACGTGGTACTGTGTGTAGAGTTTCTGGGTTCGCAACTCTTTGAGGTACAGCTCCCGCAAGATCTGGTTCTGATGGACCTCATCTGTGACCACCCTCTCCTTCAGGCGTCCCGCCATGGCCTTGGAGCTGCTCAGTGGGTCCGGTGCCCTCTGTGTCCTCTCACCGCTTGCTTGGCCTCGGGCCTTCCGCTGTCTCTAGGCAATGGTGTTCCTCTCCGTCTCCAGGCAACAGCCTTCCTAGGATACCGCTCTGGTCTCCCCGAACCCAGCCTGGTTATGAGAACCGCCTCTGGATACTGCCAGGAAAAAGGCTTGTCATCAAGTCACAGACCCAAAAGACAATGCACATAGAACGGGACCTCAGGTTGGCCAATCACTTCCAGGCAACGGCACCCTACTATTCTCCAGGCAACAGCATTCCTATGATAGCACTCTGGCACCTCCGAACACAGCCTCGTTACTAGAACCGTCTCTGGATACTGCCAGGAAAAAGGCTTGCCATCAAGTTGCAGACCAAAAAGATAAAGCACATAGAACTGGACCTCACGTTGGCCAATCACTTCCCTCCTTGATAACAGATTCGATGCTCTTCATTCCTCTACCTTCTCTGCCCCGGTCCTGCAGTTTGCTCTGTGGTTACAGACCAAGTTCAGTGGAGAAACCAGTTCAAATGCAGAGGCTTGTGCAGTCTGGCGGCCCAAGCAGGAGAGGAAAGGCGCAGGCCAGGCCCAGTGTTCGCTTGCCATGGTCTTGGATTCCCTGTGTCCACCAGGTCACTGCTGGGAATCCACTGTCTCGGCAATTCTGAACCACCTGAGAACTGCCCCAGTAGGAGGGAAACCATCTCTCCAGGGTGAGATTTGTAATCCGTCAGGTCTGGTTGTGGGTGGCTGGATAGGGGGTGGGGACTAGGGTACGGGGGACTAGTAAGAAGGGCTATGAGAAGGGTGAGGGGGAAAGATAGGGGGAACTGGGAAAGGGGTGACTTACGAGTAGGGCGCTGGCACACAGATGCTCTGGAATTAACAGAGGAAGAGCTGGACAGGGAGTTCAGGGAGGTAGGGTACTGGGAAGGGGCGACTTCAGTCAGCTGGGGCAAACGGGTAGGTTGGAAGACTGAACAACGTGGATGGCCCTGGAGAGGAGGCTTACGGCAGGAAGTTTTAGGAGTAAGGGAAGGAAGGAGGGCTGGAACACGAGCACGGGAACGAACAGAAAGAAATGGAGCCCGGGGTTGAGGCTGAGAAATCGGAGGTAGCTTTCTGGTCATTTTTCCAAATGAGTGCTGTAGAAACTCACTTGTCCAAACGAGTCAAAATGAGTAACTGAGATGTGCCGAGGCCGACTCCAGCATTTATCTCCTCAGGACATTCCATAGAATGCCTATTATGAAACGCATATTTATCTCCTGGGGACATTTCATCACAGAATGCTTATTATGAAGCATATATGCTCCCTTTTGTTCTAGCAAGGAGGCCTCACCAATCAGGGAAATGGTCTCAGTTTCTTGGTTTAAGAGTGATCATGGGAAATAGAAAAGAAAATAAATAGGGGTTGTAATATTGGTCCCTGCTCTTGGGATACATATAGTTTTGACCCTCCATAGGCCAAGAGTGATCAAGGGGCTAATGTAGATGGCCCTGGAGAAGAGGGTTAATTAATGTAGAGGTAGAGGGTTGGGGCCTAGAAGAGCAGTTCTGAAGTAGGAATTGGGAAATGGGAAGTCAGTATCCTAGTCTCTTTCCCTTACTACAGTGTTCAAAGCCCTTTCACATTATCTGCCTCACTGTGTGAATACGCATGATTAGAGATGTTATGTTCATTTTACCAGTGAGGACACTAAAGACCAGAGAGGGAATGACCACAGGCAGGCAGGGGTTGGGTGGGCAGGTGGGACTAGAACTTGGGCCAAGAAGAGGGGGCAGGTAGGAGGGAGCACAAAATGGCACAGAGCGCTGACCAGCATCATTGCCTCCTCCTGTGTCTCTGGACAGGATCTTGTAGGGGATGCCTCAGAGAAGAGCTGTACTTTTTGTAGCTTACCTCTCGGTCTCTGTGCTCCCCTGGTTTGATGCCTTAATGTTTGCTGGAACCAGAAACACAGGGTCCAAGCTGGTAGGATAACTGCCCACTCCTGAGCACCTACTGATTAGATTTCGACTTCTTGCTCACTACGTGAGATGCCTAACTCCATCGGATATGATGAAGGAAGCTGCTGTACCCTCCCCTTTCCTTTGTCTGCAGTAGCAACTCTCTCTGCTGAGCATTCCTGGTTTCTCAGAATGCCATTCAAATCATAGGCTCCTTTGGTCCCCTGTTCTCTCCTGCGTTTGTATCACCATAAGATTCTGAATTTTCTCCCTTAGCCCAATACTCTTTACCTCCTGTGCTGCATAAAACTTTCAGTTGTGCTTCAGAAATCCAGCCACATGATTAGCAAACTTCCCTTTTTCCATCGACTGCTTCTTTATTGACAGTTCCTTGCCTCTCCTTGCTTTAACTGTAACTTGGATTTTTCTTGCGGACATTGCTTCCCTTGTATATCAAGTAGAAACCACTTATTCTGTCAAACTCTGAAGTACTTCAGAGTAAGAATGTGGTTTATATGTTCTCCTTGCTCCTTCTGACTCCTTGAAAACCACACTGCATTATTTCTCTCTTCATAATGGAATATCTCTTGCTCCTTATGAGTTATCTTTAAACTAGGAAAGAAAACTTACTGGGAAATAAAAAGTAACACCTTCTTTATAATCACCTAAATGAACAAAAATGTTAATGCATAATGCAGAAAACTTTGTTTATTCAGAAAACAAGTGTGTTCTCTATTCTTACTGTGTATTAGTCTGTTCTCAGGCCACCAATAAAGACAAAGAACTTACAAAGAAAAAGACATTTAATAAACTCACAGTTCCATGTGGCTGGGGAGGCCTCATAATCATGGCAGAAGGCAAAGGAGGAGCAAAGGTACATCTTACATGGTGGCAGGCAAGAAAGCATGTGCAGCAGAACTCCCCTTTATAAAGCCATCAGATCCCATGAGACTTACTATCATGAGAACATCAAAGGAAAGACCTGCACCCCCATGATTCAATTACCTCTCATCAGGCCCCTCCCACAACATTGTGGTAATTGTGGGAGGCACAATTCAAGATGAGATTTGGGTGGGGACCCAGCCAAACCATATCACATTGATTGTAAACGACAGCCAATAGATTGTTTACTTTTGACCAGGTTGAAGGAAGAGTCAACATGTAGTTCCACAGAGCATGTTGTAGGCAGTGAGGGAAGAGAAAGCACGGGAACTTTTGAAGATCTTTCTAAGATCCCTTCAATTTGGAGAACAGAGCTTAACAATCTGAGAAAGCCAAGAAAGGAAATGAGCTCAGTTCCTCACTGCAGAATGACACCAGTGGCAGGATCAAGAAATAGCAGGTGCCTGCGTGAACTTATCATTACGCAGATCCAGGTTTTGCAAGCAGCCTGACCCATGGCTAAGCTGAGTTACTTTCCACTAAGTAGACAACAGATTTTGAAGAAATGTATGTGAGGACAAAGTTACCAGAGTGCCTAGTTTCATTCCCAATCCATCAGTTATTTGAAGAGCTGGGCTCAGCAGGGCTTCTCCCAAAGTACATAAAAGCTGGGAGAACCAACATGCATGAGGGAGCCATAGTGGAGGCCAACATATGGATAGTTTGGTGGTTCTGCCTCAAAGAGAGGACAGAACAAATGAAACGGAAACAAATATATTCTTAAAAATATTTTAGAAGAAATTTGGGGGGGCTAAGGGAGGAATAGCAGGGGTAGGGGGATTGGGGAGGGAAAGCATTAGGAGAAACACCTAATATAGATGACAGGGTAATGGATGCAGCAAACTACCACCATGGCACTTGTAACAAACCTGCACGATCTGCACATGTACCCCATAACTTAAAGTATAATAAATAAATAAAGAAAGAAAGAAAAAAAAGAAGACATTTTCTCTAAAATGAAGGAAGGTAGGAATCATCAGATCAAACAGAAAATTTACAATGGGTGGCTAATGCCACAACATTCTGGAAAAGCTGCTAAACTACAAGGTTAAGGAAAGCCTTATGAATACTCCTGTCACTATTAAGCTTAAAAAACTGAGGGTGAACTCAGACTTCTTCTAAGCAGCATTAAATAATGGAGCAAGTTTCAGAGGAATGTCACTCAGATGTGGTCTGTAAGGCTGGCAGCTTCAGCATCACCTGGGATCTTGTTAGAATGCCAAATCCTGGGCCGGGCGCAGTGGCTCAGCCTATAATCAGCACTTTGGGACACCAAAGCATGTGGATGACCTGAGTTCAGAGGTTTGAGACAGGCCTGACCAACATGGAGAAACTCCACCTCTACTAAAAATACAAAAAGTGGTAGGTGCGTAATCCTAGCTACTCCGGAGGCTGAGGCAGGAGAATCTCTTGAACCCAGGAGGCAGAGTTTTCAGTGAGTGGAGATCGCACCACTGCACTCCGGCCTGGGCGACAAGAGCAAAACTCCGTCTCAAAAAAAAAAAAAAAAGAATGCCAAATAAATCCTGGACCACTATGGACCACTATCCCAGACATACTAATTTCAGTTCTCTGGAGGTGGAACTCAGAAATCAGAAATCAGTGTCTTAATGTGCCCTCCAGGTGATTCAGATGCATGGCTCACGTATGAGAAGCACTGCTCCAAACTTTAGTAAAATAAACACAGGCGGCTCATGAATTTTATATCATGCTAGGTTGACATTTGCACATGAAGGTAACAGTTAGCCATCTCTTCTTTGTATAAACTCAGGAAGTATATTTCTCATGAGTATTTGAAACAGGAGGAATTGAATGAAGGAATTTAGTTTCACTGTTCATGTAAGAGCTAAGATAACAAATGACATTAAGACGCTTCAAGATTAGCCCAGCATCCCTTGGCTGACTAGACAAAGGGGTCAGGATAAGGACCAGAGTGGCCTGAATGGATCTAGAATCCTGGCAGGCCTGCCCCATAGGAATGGAGATAGTGCTTTACACAATGGGGAGCTGGTACCTGAGATGCTGAGGGATGGATTGGGATAAAAGATTCTGCTTCACCTTCCTCCCTCCTTCCAATTTCTTGCCAGACATTCCTGTCAGCCAAATCCAGCTGAAAAACCAGCTGAATCAAGAACCTATGGCTTGTAGCACAGCAGGGAAAAGGTGAGGAAGGACTCTGAGGGCCAGCAGGGCAGGAACTGGTGCAAAGTCTATACCTAGTCTACCAAATGATAAGTCAAACTAAGTGACAAATGAGGAAGTGGCATGCAAAGACTGGCAGCAGGGCCGTCTTCCTGGACTTAGGATGTGGTTGCAGAGGGCCTTGTGCCGAAATGGGCCCCACATGGCTTAATGCTCTGCTGCTGTCATCTCAAAATTCTTAATAATTTTTGAACCAAGGCCCTACCTTTTCATTTTGAACTAGACCTTAAAAATTAGGTGGCCATGCCTGACTGACAGTAAACAGCAAAGTATTTAAACATAGAAAAATAACATTCACAATACAGAATGCAGATGTTATACGTATTTAGAGAAAAGCTATATCATGTAAAAAATAACAGTAATGGACAAATAAAAACCCTAATATGGTCTGACACAATCTTGAAGCTTATAGAAGGAAGTCTAAGTGGGTGAGTGCCCTCATCTTCCACAGGGAGAAGTAAGTACATTTTGTTTTGCTTTATGAGGTTGAATGAAGATGACTCAGAATGTTCACTTTTAAGTATGTTACTTAAAGTTGAAATAAGATCAGTCTTAATAATTGTCAAATTACCACAGGGAGAAGAGTGAGATGACCTAAAAAACAAAATACAGGCCACATGGCAAAGACACAAAAGAAGAAAGCATACTTAAACAAAATGAAAGTGAAACTGTCTCCAGTAATAATACCTACAAATGTTATTTACTCATGTATTGAATCACACAATTAAACCCAATGAGTTAATGTCTTAGATACAATTAAAACAGTGCATCTATAATTTTTAGCATCTACAAGACATACTCCTAAAACAAGTGCAATCAAAATTTTAAATAAACAGATGGGCAAAATGTGTCAGGGAAAACTTGCCAAAGAGTGTTACTTTGTCGATGAAAAGTGTGAAACTCTGTAAAACATTTGAAGATATTTATTCTGAGCCAAATATGAGTAGCCATGACCTGTGACACAGCCCTCAGGAGATTCTGAGAACATGTACCCACAGTGGTTGAGGTGGAGCTTCGTTTTACACATTTTAGGGAGGCA